CCCTGCATCGGCAGGCGGACTCTCAACCACTGCGCCACCAGGGAAGCCCGAGAATGTCATCTTAATAAGGACAGGATCCTTCTAAGCTTTTTGTTCATGATGTATCTCAGGCACCAAGAACTGTTTCTAAATTGTTTACAAAATTATTTTTCAATTACCACAAAACATTTTAAATAAGCAAAAAAGTGTTTGAAAGTTTTTCCTTTCCCCCCTCAATCCTACTCCCAAAAGGTAACCATTTCTAAAGTTTCTTTGCACATTTTCCTATATTCTTTTCTAAATATACATCTACTTTATTTTTCTTACACAATGGATTATCTGTATACATATTGTTCTGTAATTTGCATTTTATATATTTCTAGTCAAGCAACTCCTCTCCGGAAAAGAATAGGTTGGACAATATAACTTTTTCTTTTTACAAAGAGGAAATCACATATGACAGAAAGTGAGCTGGTGCTTTTTTGATCTGTAATTTGTCTATAGGAATTCAGGAAAGGGAAAGAAGGGTACAGAAAGTAGCCATAGTTTCTTCAAAAAGAATTTCTTAGGGCTCAGCTAAAATTGTCTCTTGCTAACCAGGAAGACTACAGGGTACATGCCAGGCAAAGTCAGAAACCCAAGAAAGCAGGGCAGGAAAGATGACAGGCTGTATTCTGCAGACAGTGGGCAGATGGACTGGAAAGTTTGGAAGGTTGTATATAGGAAGATACATTTATAATATTAGCTATTGTGCAGCAAGTATTTCCTATGTGCCAGGTACTATGCTAAGTACAATATTTTAACTGCTTTACTTGTACTGTCACATTTAATTCCCATGGAAATTTTTTAACTTTTTATTTTGACATAATTTTAGAAATTTGAAAAAGTGATGCAAAGTATCCCTATATATCTTTTATCTAGATACCCCAAACATTAGCATTTCACTACATTTGCTTTATCATATTCTCTGCCTCCTCTCCCCATCTCTCTTTTTTCCTCTATCTATGTGAGTGTGGAGGTTGGCTGGACACCCTGGTGATGGGGCCCAAGTACCCCACTGGCCAGGCACCCCTGAAGTGGGACCCAGGCACCCACCTGTTATACTCAGTTGTGTATATGCATTGTGTAAACAAAGTTCCTTTGTGGACACATAGTATGTCCACAGTTGTGTATATGCCTTGTGTACTCAAAGTTCTTTTGGAGAAACATTGTATCTCCACAGTTGTGTATATGCACTGTGTACCAAAAGTTCCTTTGAAGAAACATAGTATGTACACTGTTGTGTGTATGTAATGTGTACCCAAAGTTTTTTTGTGGACACATTGTATGTACACAGTTGTGTATATGCAGCGAGTACCCACAGTTTGTGGACACTAGTATGTAAACTGTCGTGTATACGATTGAGTACCCAAAGTTCCTTTGTGTACACATATTCTATACACAGTTGCAAACATAGGTGCTGTCCCGCTGGGGGTGGTGGGTGCTTGGGCTGATTCAATCAGCCCCTTGGAGAACATGACTCCTATTGTTAAATCAGTCCCCATAAATCAGGTGACTCCCATTGATTCAATCAGCACCCTTTTATCACAGTGACTTCCATGTATTAAACCAGCCCCCTAAATCAGGTGACTCCAATTGATTAAATCAGACCCATTAAATATCCCGACCCCCATTAAAGATTTCTTCTTAAATCTCCTGACACCCATTTTACTAATTAAACCTCTTAAGTTTCCTAACCCACCCCAACAAACAATCTGCCTTCTTAACTCTCCAGACCTGCATTGTCATTCTGTCTTCTTAATTCTCCTGAACCCCATTAAATTAATCACCGTTCTTAATCTCCTGACCACCCTTAAAACAAAGGGCCCCCTTAACTCATGTGTTTGCCTTTGATTCAGTCAGTCCCCTCAAATCGTGGGCTGTAAATGATTCAATCAGCCTCCTAAATCACATGACTGCCATTGATTATATCAGCTCCCTTAAACATTGTTAACCCATTTAAACCAATTGGCCTTCTTAAATCTCCTGCCTTTCATTAAAACAACCAAACACCTTAGGTTTCCTGACCCCGATTAAATCAACCAACCCCCTTAGGTTCCCTGACCCCATTAATACAATCTGCCTTCTTAAGTCTCCTGACACCCATTAAATAGGATGATTGATTAGATTAGGGTCACCATATTTAAGAAAGCAGATTGAATCAATGGGTGTGATGTCCCCCATGGTGGGTGGCCATACATGGAATACACGTATACGTGTATTCCATATACATGTCTGGAATCATTATCATGTACACTTGTAACTAAGATGATGTTATATGTTAATTATATCTCATAAAAAAGAGAGAGCTACAGTATAAAAATGGTTCCCCCAAATAGTCACAGTATTCTAAATTATCTTTGTTTAAATTTTGCCATTTAGAAGAATACATAAAATAGAATTATAGTGAGAATGTATGTAAGAGGCAGGGCTCACGGGAGGCAAAGTCTTAATTTTGACTGAGATGAAACCATGCAATGGATAAAGTTGTTCATATGCATTGCACGTGTACCTCACATCTTGGACCCAATCTAATGCCCAGCCACCTCTGATTGGATATATTACAGTCTGCAACTCTTGATTCACAGATGTTTTGCAGAGGAGATCTCTATCTGACTCTCATGAGTACGACAAGATAAGAGCAAAGAAAGTTCTCTTTAGGTTTTGACAGGTGAGCCCAGGCAAAATTAGTCCTATGAGTGGCCAGAGTGATGAGACCTTCAGAATTTATCGGCTCACAGGCTGGCTAAAGAGATAAATTCATAAGGTCTATATCACCTTTCTTCTGAATTTTGTTCTGAGCTCATCACAAAAACTGATGAGGATGCACAGCATGATAAACAACTTACCTTCCCTATCACAGGTGGACAGCCCCCTGAGACAGAGCTGAAGCAGCCCCAGGGAAACTGCCCGATTCCAAGTCAAGGGCTTTGGTCAGAGGGTAGAGAAGGTCATGGCTGGATCTCAGGGAGGCCTGCAGGGGAGCTCAGAGCCATCTCCACAAAGAAGCACCGGAATAATATATTGATCAGGCAAGCCTAGATTTATAAATCCTATAGGACCCCACTTTGACAGTCTTCATAATGTATCAGAAGTAGAAGCTCACACAATGGTATTTATAAAATTTTGTAATCTGGACCCAAGTTATTCTAGGGAGATGTTTCTATTTTCCTTTTGCCAATATCACATTCTATTTTGAACTGTTGAGAAAGTAAATATTTCATTGTTTTGTTTCTTTACTGCCTACAGATATTTTCAGTTATGCCTCAACCACAGATAAAGTTATATAAATTTTTATATTTTGACTTAATGTGTCATACCAATTGGCCTATTGACCTAATGTATAGAATTGTATTGGTTAAAAAATGTTTTACTAATATATGCATCTATATAAAAATATGTAATAACAAAAACAGCAAAAAAACCTAAAACAGCATGAAAAAAATGGCAGTCAAGAGCAAAGAAAGTAGTCTGTGAAGCTTATCTGATGGGGTCTGAACACAAATTCCACTTTCTTAGCTGCCCTACTAAGTAGCTGTGTGGCCTCAGGAAGATTCCTTAACCTCTCTGGCTCTTGGTTCCCTCATGTGCAAATGGGATACCATAGTGACTGCCCTAGGCCAAGTGGGGCACATTAAATGGCTGAGACAAATATATCCCATAGAACAGTGCCTGGTGCACAGTAGGTGCACCATAAAGTTTAGCTGTGACAACAATGACTGCTTGGTGTTGGGCAGCGTCCCCTGGGAATACTTTTCCCACTTGATGTCAAATTGAGTCTGTGAAGCAGGTCCTGTCATCATCCCATTTTACAGATTAGGACACTGAGGCTCAGAGGGTCCTAAGTCTCAGAGCAGATGAGTAGGGAGCCAGGATTCAGGCTGAGGTTTCTGTTCCCAGCATTGCAAAGGGAAAAGGAGGAGAGAGCTTGGTAGAACCTGGCGGCCCGCTTGGGTGAGGAACTGCATTTCAGGTGGGAGAGTCTGGGGGTGATCCAGGATCGGGGAAGGAGCTGGTAGAGTGGGTGAGGAGACTTGGGGGGTGCAGGGAAGGACTGAGCCACGTCTGGGATGGCTGTCTGGATGGAGACTGGCCTGGTTAGAGGTGGACACAAGTCCAGGGTGGTTCTAGGTACAGGGGCTGGACCCATCTCAGCAGTCCCTGGGCAGAGTTGAGGAACCAGGGCCTGAGACCCCCGACTTACCCAAGGCCAGAGGACGTACGGTACCTGGAATCAGGTGGCCCATCACTTCACATTGTAAACTAGGATGTCAGCATAGCATTCGATGTCACCCTGAGTGATGGATACATCCATTTGGAGGTACCTCCCAACCCTGGGTGGATCTGTGAAGACAGGTTCTCCATCCTAGTAAAACCTTTCACTGAGAGAGAAAGGAGTGTTAAGGGGCCACCCTGCCAGGAGAGCAGGCAAGGCCCTGCAAGGCCTTAGTGTATCTGAGACTGCAGACCCTGCTCGGGAGCTCCGCCTCCCATCAGTTGGACGGACAGGTCAGTGGTGGGCAGATGAGAGCCTTGTGGACAGAAGGCTCCATGTTTCAGCCCTCTGGGACCTCAGGCACATCACCCTGCCAGGCACCCAGAACCTGGTAGTAAGCCCCCACCTGGCCTCTTCTCCCAGCTGCCCCTTCATCCTGCCTGTCAACCTGCCTTGTTCAAAGAGGGGCTCACCCCCTGCCTGTGGCCTCACAGGTACAAAGGGGCAGAAGGGGATGGAACCCCGGGTCGTCCAACCAGACAGCCCACAGGAGAGCTGTTCCCGAGACTCGAAGGCCTTGGAACTGCCGCCTGAGTCCAGTTTTGCTGCCCCAAGTACCACAGGAACTTGGCTGGGTTTCTGGGCCTCAGCTGCTCTTTCTGTAAGATGGGTGCTCAGTGAGTCAGCCTCAGGGGTGGCCTTGAGCGCTGTGGCTGAGGTAATACAAAGAGAGTGCTTGGAACAGGGCCTGGCCCAAGGCAAGTGCTCATGAGCAATAGCTGTACCGGTCCAGGACGTGTGCAAAGATTTCCTGCTGTGCCAGCTGGGACCTAGACCATTGCCACACGAACTGCAGCGCCTGCAAAACTGGAGGCAACAGAGTGAGGGCCCAGGGGCAACACAGCTGCCCTGGCTCCCCTCCCTAGTCCCCACCTGAGTGTCGTGGCTGCCCGCACTCTGCTCTCTCTCACTGGTTCCTGGACAAGATATCCCCCTGCGGGATCCTCCTCAAGATTCCTCCTGACCTCCCAAAGCCACAGGGGGTTAAGGAACTTGCCTTCCAGAAGGCGCCTGCCTGCACTCTCATCCCACCCCTCCTCAAGGCAGGACTCAGTCTGCCAGGACCTGCCAGCCATTCTCTCTCAAACTCTGCTTGAATGCCCCCAGACACAGGGAGCTCATCACCTCACACTACGGGTACAGTCCATTTTTCAAGTTCTGATGGTTAAAAAGTGCTCAGGGTTACAAAGCAGGGATAAAACCCTGTTTCTATGGGCACTAGCTCGTGCTCCATACACAGTTCATCTACTCCTCTGTGATTTGGTCTCTGCACATGAATTTCCAGAAGCCAGACCTAGCTCACAGAATTATCTGCAGGAGAAACAAGCTGCCATAGGAATTGTGAGCAATGTTCAGTGTGGTACTCAGAAGGGTCTCATTAAAAAGCTACTTTTCTTGTCTACCTAGAGCCCAGATCCTCTTTGATAACTCCGGCTGGCCACCCTGCCACTGTTGTCCAGAAGTTTATTACCTGAGTGAGCGATCCTGCACAGAATCCCTAGGTTTGTGGCCTTATTTTCCCCATGTGTAAAATGAGATATTTACAGCACTACTTATCTGTTATGGGTTGAATGGTGTCCCCCCCAAAATATATATTTAATTCCTATTCTTAGTACCTCATATGACATTATGTGGAAATAAGGTCTTAACAGATGTAACACCCTCAGAAGGTGCCATGTCCCTGTCCAGGATTGATCTTGGACTTCTGGCCTCCAGACCTGTGAACAGCACATTTCTATTGTTGGAAGCTCCCAGGTTCTGGTACCTTCTTAAGTCTGCCCCAGGAAACGAATTCCCCATGTCATAGGGTTGTTGTGAGGATTAAAGGAAACCAAGAGGGCAGTGGCTCCCACCAGGCCTGGCACTTCGTAGATGGGACAGGCAGCGTCTGCTGTGGCTTTTTAGTGTTACATTCATTCCTTACTAGCTGCCCACACGTAGGAAGAGTTATTATGTCCCAGGTACCCTGAATCCCCGGCCACCTCCTCTCTGAATCGAGCATGGTTTACTGAGTGCAGGTCTGCTCTAGCCCCTTTGGAGACTCAAAGAAGAAAGCAGCCCCAGCCCAGCCCAGCTGAAGCGGGGAAGGGGACTCATAGCAGCAGGCATCTGAGCTGGGCCTACAGCTCAACCAGGAGCTAGACATGCAGGAAGCAAGGGCCACTCGTGCTGAGGGCTCAGCAGAGCAGAGAATGGGCCTGGGACATCCAATGGCCTAGGTAGCCACCAAGCATCCTTAATGCTCTGGAGAATGGCAGGGGCTGCTTTCTTCTTTGAGTCTCCAAAGGGGCTAGAGCAGACCTGCACTCAGTAAACCATGCTCGATTCAGAGAGGAGGTGGCCGGGGATTCAGGGTACCTGGGACATAATAACTCTTCCCATGTGTGGGCAGCTAGTAAGGAATGAATGTAACACTAAACAACCATAGCCGACTCTGCCTGTCCTGCGTACGAAGTGCCAGGCCTGGTGGGAGCCACTGCCCTCTTTATTTCCTTTAATCCTCACAACCACCCTATGACATGGTAAATGGGCTGTCCCCCATGGGGGGTGGCCGAGTGCCCCAGAGGGGAACAGCTAGGGAGGGGTGCTGTCCCCCGTGGGGACATGTGTGTGCATTGTGTGTGTTCATAAATTTTTGCTGAACCATTTGAGAGTAAGTTGCAGACAACTTAGCACTTTACCTCTTTAATGTGTATTTCCTTTAAAAAAAAAATGTTAAGGCATTCTCTTACATAACTACAATGCAATGATCAAATCAAGAAATTGACACTGTTCTGTTATCTAATCTACAGATCTTATTCCAATTTTGTCAATCATTCCCCTTATGTCCTTTATAGTTCTTTTTTGTTTTAACCTTGATATAGGGTCCAGGTTGCATTTAGTCATCATGTTTCTCTAGTGTCCTTTAAACTGGAACAGTCCTCTTTGGCTTTCCTGGCCTTGATTTTTTTTGAACACAGGACATTTACTTTACAGAATGTCCCTCCATTTAAGTTTGCCTGATGTTTCCTCAAGATTCGATGCAGCTGTGCGTTCTTCGCAGGAATACCTCCAAAGTGCTGCTGGGACCATCCCAGAGGATCGTGTAAGAGGCACTTGATATCTTTTTGTCCTATTACTGGTGGTATTAACTTTGACCACTTGGAGAGTGGTATTGACAGGTTTCTCCACTGTAGTTACTACTTTGCATGTTCTAATTAGTCTGTCTCTGGATGAGAGATACCTTGAGACTGTGTAAATATCTTATCTCCCATCAAATTCTCACGCACTAGTTTTAACATCCATTGATGGTTCTTGCCTGAAACAATTGTTGCCATGGTGGTTACAAAATTTTTTTTTTTCTAATTCCATTATTCCCTCTACTTGGCATTCCAATGTTAAGGAAGAATTTATTTGTGTTTATTCATATATTTATATCAGTATAGAGTCATGGATTCCTATTTTACTCCAGGGTTTATTAATCATTACTATTTCATTATTTATTTTGATGCTCAATTGTCCCAAACGTGGCCAGTGAGAGGGCCTCCTGACTAGCTCCTCCTCCTTTAACATGTCCACACTGTTCTCTGAGCCCTTCTTTATGGCACAGCAAGATCTCATCTTGTAGTACTTTCCCCACCCCAAACCCTGGAATCAGCACGGCTCTGTTTTGAAGGAGCTACTACCATTGTACCTATTTTATAGTTGAGACACAGAAGCTCAAGAAGCTGGATAGGCGGTTACAGGTATCAGGAGAATGAAGGCAATTCAGCAACATTTTGCCACCAGACGAAACCTCAAGGGAACAGCTATTACAATAGTGACTGAGCTGCTGTCGTGATTTGGGGAAACAGACTTAACTCCCATTTGGGATGAGGGACTGATCATCCACCCTGGAGGACCGCCTAGCATGAGAACTCTACTTGCCAACCTCTTCCTTGACAAAGCAACAGAGGAAAGAGAAGGTGGCTTCAGCAGACTGTACAGCATCTGCTAGTAAACCAAACACGAGAGCTGTGAGAGATGGGTCTGCACCCGGCTGCTCCAAGCTTTTCTGCCATTTGAAGCTTGTGCTGGGAGCCAGCTGTGACCAGAGGAATAGCTCCAGCCATCCAGGTAAGTTGGATGGCAGCTGTGCCCACATCACTTGCTCCTGCATGGATTATCACAGGGTCTCCAGGCTGAACAATTCCTGTGACAGAAAGTACAGGAACCATTTTCTTTACTTTGCAACTGCTACACATTCTCCACATAGGTTTATTCTACCATGATCACCTGACCCTGGGACCACCAAATGTCAAATCTCTTGCTGTTTTAAGAGAACATATTGACTTTTTGTCTTATTGTCTCTGGCCAAAGTAGGAAACAACTTTTGGAAACAGAGTTATTGGCAGCCACATCCATAATCTCTGTTTTACCTATGAAATAATACCAAAACATATCTCTGACCTATACCTGAATGAGTAAGAATAAGCACCATTCCCGCTGTCGCCACCTGAAGCCAGCCCCTCTTCAGTCTGAAGCTGGCCTCCAGCTAGTCTCACAAATCCAGGCACCACATCCAGCCACCAGGCTCCTGCTGAAATGGAGATTTCAATATGTCACTTTCTCCTCAAAATGTCAACTGGTTCTTTTTCTTTTTTTTTTTTAATTTTCTTTTTAAATTTTTTGCGGTACGCGGGCCTCTCACTGTTGTGGCCTCTCCCGTTGCGGAGCACAGGCTCTGGACACGCAGGCCCTGCGGCCATGGCTCACGGGCCCAGCCGCTCCGCGGCATGTGGGATTTTCCCGCACCGGGGCACAAAACCGTGTCCCCTGCATCGGCAGCCGGACTCTCAACCACTGCGCCACCAGAGAAGCCCCGTCAACTGGTTCTTGATTGGCTTTTGTGTCAAGTCCAGATAGCCTGCCATTCAAGGCTACCACAATCTAGTCCCAGCCTCATCTTTCACAAATTATAATTGATATCCTTCACTTCTGAGTGAAGCAGCCAATCTCAGCTTGACCCTCTTAGGCCACCTTGGTATGCCATCTGTCCATCACAGCTCTACCACCCTTCAAGGCCTTCTGTTCCAGAAAGCCTTCTCTGACCACCTTTGCCCACACCAACTTTTCCCATCTTGAGCTTCTGTTGTAGTTAGAGACAGGGCTGCCCTGCCAAACACTATGGTTGTCTTGTCAGTTAGGCTGAGTTCCCCAAAGCCAGGGACCCTCACGTAAGCTCTTGGCTGGCCTCAGTGGGATTGGGGAGGAATTAAAGAGTTGATTGAATGGCTTCTTCTTTTGTGCTAGGGCTCCCAGAGAGAAGCTTAGCATGACTGAGAAGCTGGCACTACCACTGGGCTTACGGTGTGACGACGCTCACAGGTCTTCTATCCAGCGCTTTCCAGGTTTTCTATCTGCTAACCGTGATTTTCAGCCTCTGTATTGCTACATAGTATGAGGACCTGATACTACTGGTGGTACAGTAAGCTGAGGTGCTGGGGTTGGGCGTGGCTCAGTGGCCAGATCAAAGCTGCACTGCAGGACTGCTGGGTTTTCAGGTGGCTGAGTCGTGAAGAAATTGAACCATGCTGTATGGAGTGAGCGTAGGGTGGGGTCGGGTGGCCCTCACCCAAGAGATGTAACAGCTGGAAGGCGGTGAGCCAGGCCTCTGGGATGGCGGCAGCCTGGGGCATGGCCAGTCCTGCCACGATGGGCATGGGGAGCCCTTCAGGGACAGGGACATACTGAGCTTGGCCCCCACTAGGCGGCAGAACCGTGGCTGGGTCCCCGATCTACAGTGTCCCTGGCAGCCAGGCCCCAGCTCTGCCATGTGTCCGGATGCCTCGAGCCCCCAAATGTTGCTGGCTCCTGGGGGAGGGGCATACTGGCCTTGTCTCTGCAGAGAAAGAGTGCACTAAGTAGTAAACATGATCAGAAGTCTGTGTGTCACCATCCCTGGCCCTCTTCCCATAGCCCCTTTTTTTTCAAGACAAAGTTCAGGGTAAATTTAGGTTTTTTTAATTCAAGAAAAAAGAGAGGAGAGGTAATTTGTTTCATGCAAATAAGAGACTGTAGGCCCCATAATCAGTGGATGTCTAACTGGTAGAGTCCTTAACTGTTTCTCTCATCTAAACCCCTTGTTTTACAAATGAAGAAACTGAGACTTGGGCAGGGAAATGCCTTGTCCAAAGCAAATTAATAGCAAGACTGGGAATAAAACCGTGGACTCCTTTTGTTGTTTTATTGAATTTTGTTTTGTTTATGTTTTTTTATACAGCAGGTCCTTGTTGGTTGTCTATTTTATACATATTGGTGTGTGTGTGTTGGTCCCGGTCTCCCATTTCATCACACCACCACCTGCCCACCACCCCTCCCCTGCTTCCCCCCTTGGGGTCCATGCCTTTGTTCTCTACATCTGTGTCTCTATTTCTGCCCTGCAAACCAAACAGTGGACTCCTTAATGATAGTTCTCATATATCAAGTGCCAGGCTCTGTACTCACTCATCACAATCCTCAGAAGCCTCCAAACAGAGGCTTGAGACCAGGGGGACTGAACCAGGAGTGTGCATCTGAACCACTGAGGAGTTTTTTCAAAGTACACATGCCTAGGTCTTGGTCTTATTTATTTTGAATAAGTGCCCCCTGTGATTCTGGTGTACATTTCTTAATTATTTCAAAAAATGCAGCTGGCCCAGTTTAGTGCTTCAAAAAGAAGTCAGAAGAAAATTCTTAGAGTACTGTCCCCTGCCAGCTATGGAACCCTTAAAGTGTAAAGAATACAGACTTCGGAGCCTTAAGACAGAGACCTCAGTTTGAATCACAGCTCCCCTGGTTACTAGAGTGTGGCATTGGGGGGTTTCCGTGGTGGTGCATTGGTTAAGAATCCACCTGCCAACGCGGGGGACACAGGTTCGAGCCCTGGTCCGGGAAGATCCCACGTGCCGCGGAGCAACTAAGCCGATGCGCCACAACTACTGAGCCCACGTGCCTAGAGCCCATGCTCCGCAACAAGAGAAGCCACTGCAATGAGAAGCCCGCACACCGCAACAAAGAGCAGCCCCGCTGACCTCAACTAGAGAAAGCCCGCGTGCAGCAACAAAGACCCAACGCAGCCAAAAATTAATTAATTAATTAATTAAAAATAAAATCTTTCTTTAAAAACATAAAATGTATGACTCAATGGTTTTTAGTGAATTTACAGAACTGTACAAACATTACTACAATTTTAGAACATTTTCATTACCCCCAAAAGAAACCTCGTACCCGTTAGCAGTCAGTCGCCCATTGTCTTCCCAGCCTAACCCTAGGCAACCACTAATCTACTTTCTGTCTTATGGATTTACCTATTCTGGGCATTTTATATAAATGGAACTATACTATATGTGGGTTTTGTGACTGGTTTCTTTCACTTATCCTAATGTTTTCAAGGTTCATCCGTGTTGTAACATAATGTCCCAACCTTGTAATTTTTGTATGTCATCATATACTTATTTTCATCCCACTTTCTTCACATAGAAATGTCAAATCTCTTCTTTTATTTCTATGCCACTTTCTTCTTTGTGACTTCTAATGAATATATCAGTGTCAAGTCTCACGGCATCCCCCTGCAATGAAAGATTCCAGTCCTGACATTTCAGACAATCCCACCAGTTCCTGTAATCTTCCACTCACGCCATCATTAAAAATGAAGCTGCTTACAAAATCTGAGCCAATAACAGCGATCACTATATTACTCAACTGTTCCCTTCTACAGCTAAATGAAGGTTTTATTCTCAGGAATTAGCAACACCACCTCAAGGGCTGACTAGCCACACAAGCGACATCCTGATCTGGCTTCTCCCCAGAAGAGATGGAAGTCACTGCCTTGTTCCTCAGCTAAGGACCATTATGACAAATCCAAAAAAGAAAAATAAAAAAGCTTTCTTTCTCATGCTTATTTATAAACAAACAGGTCTTTCTTGGGTGTTTTTTTTTCTGTTTTTTTTTTGTTTTTTTTTAGGGAAAATTTCAAATATATTCAAAAGCAGAGAGACTACTATAATGCAGTCCCATTACCCAGCATCAATGATGATCAATTCCTAGCTAACCTTGTTTGATTTGTACCTTCACCTCCACTCCCCACCTCCTTTACCAAAACCTTCTCGCTAAAACTCCTTGGAAATATTTACTTGGACACCACTGTTCTCCCATAGTTCTGGTTATGTTAAATTTATTTGCAGTAGATATTTGGGGAACATTACTCTGTGTCCAGCGCTGGGTCCTGAGGACACAAAGATGAATAGGACATTGTCTGGGCAGTTTACACACCAGGAGCACGAAATACAAATATTCCATTTAATTATAGCACGAGGCTGGGGGATGGACAAAGTTGGTTCCTGACACAGCTTCACGCGGGTGGTAGTGGGGTTTGTAAATAAGATCATTAATAGTAATCACATGCCGGAGAGGGGGTAACGTTTCCGATAAAGTTGCTGGTGTGGAAGTGCTTACATGATATTATTTTAAAGGTTATATGGGGTTAAAGGAGCTACCAAAATGAGGTAGGAGTTGGTTAAAATGTGAAGGCAGAGCCATTTCTCTGACTGAATGCTTGGGCATGATTCACAGCCTGCAAAACCCCCGGACTGGAAATCCACCCTGATAACTCTCCTGTGTTCCATGTTGTCACGATCCACCCCTGAAGCCAGGAGATCTGGGGCCTGCAATCGGCTGCAAAGGGCAAAGAGAAAGGGTTGGGGAAAAGGAAATATAAATTAATATCTCCACAAATGAGTACCAACCTCACAGGTATAAGTCTAAGTTAAAATGTATATAAAATAGAAATACATATGTAGCCAGCCATAAATGGGAAGAAACTGAGGTGTCTATGTGAAACCATGAAGAAGCCTCACTTGCCCAGAGGCTCATACAAGTCACCTGATCCAGGGCAGCTGTCACCTCCAGAAGTGAGGAGGACAGCTCTTTGGGGCAGTGAGTTCCCAATGTCAGACCTGGATCATCATTTCCTTAACAAACTGTTCCAACAATCAGTGATATTGATCTTCCCCTATTCAGTCACTCATAATGCACCAAGGGGCGCTCATGCCCACAGGTTGCTCTGGGGGCCAGAGCTTTAATCGGCCTGAAGGAACCAGAAGAGGCTTCCATTTTCTGTCCATTTTGAAGGATGAGGAAGAGGCAGGCAGGTGAAGAAAAAGGTCCTAGGGTGAGGGCATAAATATAAGCCAAGGTGTTGAGGCATGAAGGAGCATGGCCTGGTCACGAAGCATTTTAGCATCAGTGGAGGTCAAGTGTGAGACAAGAGGTGTGGAGAGAGAAGAGGCAGGTGACAAAGGCAGGGCCAGGTCCAAGAGGTCTTCTCTTGTCCTGTGAAAGAATGGGGCTCGGTTGAAGGATTAGAAGCAGGGGAACTTGCACGATCAGACCTGTATATTGGATTGATCCCTGTGGACAGTGAATTGGGGCAGAGGATCCAGGTGGGAATATGTTGCATTGTGCAGGGATGAAGGGAGGCATCCCTCAGTCACTCCAGAACTGTAACAGGGTCGTTAGGGGCTGAGTTGCACCCCTCCCCCAATTTCTTATGGTGAAGTCCTGACCCTCTGGATGTGACCATACGTGGAGATGGGTCTTTAAGGATGTAATTAAGTTAAAATGAGGTCATTAGGGTGGCCCCTAATCCAATATGCCTGATGTCCTTTTAAGAAGAAGAGATTAGGGCTTCCCTGGTGGCGCAGTGGTTGAGAGTCCACCTGCCGATTCAGGGGACACAGGTTCGTGCCCCGGTCCGGAAAGATCCCACATGCCGCGGAGCGGCTGGGCCCGTGGGCTGTGGCCGCTGGGCCTGCGCGTCCGGAGCCTATGCTCCGCAACGGGAGAGGCCACAGCAGTGAGAGGCCCAAGTGAGAGGCCCACATAAAAAAAAAAAAAAAAAGAAGAGGAGATTAGGACACAAACACCTATGGAGAGAAGACCACGTGGAGAAACAGTGAGAAGGTGGCCGTCGACAAGCCAAGGAGAAGAAACCAACCCTGCTGACACCTCAATCTCAGACTTCCAGCCTCTAGAACTGCGAGAAATAGATTTCTGGTGTCTAAGCCACCCAGTCTGTGGAGCTTCGCTATGGCAGCTCTAGGACATGAAGGTGAAACAGGATGTGGACGAGGGTCACGAAACTCAGCAAGACTTGTTGATTACAAGTGGGGACGGAAGAGGAAGAAGGCCAGGAGGCCTCCCAGACTTCTCATTTGATGAGATTAGTGGAGGCAAGGCCACTCAGTGTGACAGACATCCTGGAGAAGGAGCTGCTCAGGCTGAGTTACATCTGAGAGCATGTGAGTGGACGTCCAAATAAAAATGCACAGCTGAACACTGAATGTTGAGTCTGAAGCATCTCACAAAGAGTGGGACAACCATGGTTCTTATTCTTGTCTCAGTTCTGAGACTGTTTTGTTGTGTGCTCTCTGAGCCTCAGTTTCCTCAATCATTAAAAAAAATAAGGTAGGATAGTAATACCTTCCCTTCTATGTTGGAGAGTTGTTGAGAGTTCAGATGAAAAGGACATCACCGTATGCTAACACATATATATGGAATCTAAAAAAAAAAAAAAAAAAAATGGTCCCGAAGAACCTAGGGGCAGGACAGGAATAAAGACGCAGATGTAGAGAATGGACTTGAGGACACGGGGAGGGGGAAGGGTAAGCTGGGACAAAGTGAGAGAGTGGCATGTATACATATACACTATCAAGTGTAAAATAGATAGCTAGTGGGAAGCAGCTGCATAGCACAGGGAGATCAGCTTGGTGCTTTGTGACCACCTAGAGGGGTGGGATAGGGAGGGTGGGAGGGAGGGAGACGCAAGAGGGAAGAGATATGGGAACACATGTATATGTATAA